TTTTTTTTTTTGTGTCTGTTACCACTTTTTCTCAGCTCTCACCGAACGGATTTCTTTCAACGATACGTCAAAAGATCACAAATCGTATCTAGTCGAAGACATTACCCTTCAAAATTGAAAAAATTTCCCTCGTTCCCCGTAAATGGGGGAAACCTCCAAAAAAATTACAAATTTAAAAATCGCTAATTTTCGAAATTTTTTCAATTTTTTTTACTAAAAACTGCCGTAACTTTTTCAAAAATGAACGTATGAATATAATTTTTTTTTTATAGATTTTTGATGTCTTTACCTATCATTTGGTATATTTTTTTTGTAAATTTAACCTTTTTTCTGCCCACAGGGGGGGATTCAAAATGACAACTTTTTCACAAAAAATTGACTTTTTCAACTTAAATTTTGAAAGTGTTCCGGAAAGTCTGACACTTTTATATATATCTTAAATTAAAGCTAATGTAATATACTTTATTATGGAAAAAAAAAATTTCGGACTTTATTTTATCTTCATGGTGAAAATGGCTACCAAATGCTATTATTGTGTGAAAATTCTCAATTTTATTTTTTACATTTTTAACATTATAATGCTATAACTTATTGAAAAGTGTATTGATCAATATAATTTTTTTATGGGAAATACTATTTTTTAATAATCCCTTTTTCATTCGACATACTTTATCTTAATCAGGATATTAATAAGGAACTAGCAGTTTATGAAGCTTTTGGAATAATCCACCAATTTTTTAAAATTAAACACTATCTAAAGATTTGCATCGAAGCGTTTATTTTTGATAGTGATTTTAATCACTGTCAGATATCATTATACTTGATCCAACTATACCACGTCACAACTGTGCCGCGACCCCCCTGTGCTGGGTTTTTCTTAATGTCGTCTTAATTGTTTCGTTGTAGCATTGGTCAACATATCTCAAACACAAAGTAGATTCAACAAGGGTATCATTTTTAGTATAATTCTCGAGGAAAATTCTGAATCGTATACTAGATAGTTTGTTCAGAAGAATATTAGCGTTTTGCATCGCCCACATGAATCGATTTTGTATTCATTTTTTTTTTTTTTTTACATGGTTGGTGCGAGCACCTGAATTTTTTTATTATCTTCACTTTTTGAAAACGTTGCGCGTTAAATTTTTCTGAAGCGATGTGTTGAGTTACACTGAAACGTTTTTCCTTAATACTTTTATTTCACAAGCTTTACAAATTAATACTTTATTGTCGGTTGAAAATATATCTTTGCCAAACTAGCTGAACTCGTTACTTTTTCTTTTGTTATTGTTTAATGTGATTAGTCCAAATACTAGTGTTTATAATTGAAACTCATAGTAACTTAAAAAAAAAACAAATAGAAATAATTCACCGCAAATTATTAACAATATAATGATGATGGAAATATGATTATAGTTTACGGGCCTGTCAGAAGAATTGTACCTCTATACATATATCTATTTGCAGTGTAATTCATGATTGCTGGTGGTGGGGATGCGACTTTAAATTTAATATTTCTAGTTATAGGTATAAAAAATTGTCAATTTAAATATAATAAAATAAAACAAAATATACATATTATTATTTTAAAGGTCACAGTAGAAAATAGAAATGAAAATAATAGCGATTATACTATTATAGCAAACGAAACGGGGGCGCCGAAAAATTCGCGCACCGCAAGCAAAATACGCGTAACGATGAGCCCCGTTGAACGGTTCAGGAATCGCGCCGATCGGAGAAAGATTCGAATTTTAAAGCGGAAAAAACGGAAAATCTGTTCCAGGTCGAGCTATAATGAGGGGCTTAGTAAAATAGTATATAGAGGGAGATAACGACGAAAGTACACGTATTAATTCTAAAAATATATTACCCACTATAGTAATATACGAATATTTTACTGTATGGACGACGCTGCCGGTCGTCCAAAACCTATACATAAGATCGCAGCTGTACCGTACCTGCACGCAGACGTTTCGACTCCTCGTTTATAATATACTTTACAAAATATCGTTCGGACGACGCTGTCGGTCGTCCAAACACTGCTCGTGTGTACATCAGGGCGTCATTTTAGTTTTTTTTGGGTGTGCAAGATTTCAAGTAGGCCATTTTTAAATTTCATCAAGCCATATCAAAATAGATATACCTACTAAAAAAACCCAGCACAGGGGGGTCGCGGCACAGTGGTGACGTGGTATAGATGGATCAAGTATAATGATATCTGACAGTGATTAAAATCACTATAAAAAAAAAACGCTTCGATGCAAATCTTTAGATAGTGTTTAATTTTAAAAAATTGGTGGACTATTCCAAAAGCTACATGATCTGCTAGTTCATTATTAATATCCTAATTAAGATAAAGTATGTAGAATGAAAAAGGGATTATTAAAAAATATTATTTCTCATAAAAAAATAATGTTGATCCATACACTTTTCAATATGTCATAGCATAATAAAGTTAAAAATGTAAGATACAAAATCGAAAATTTTCACACAAAAATAGTATTCGGTAGCCATTATCACCGTGAAGATAATATAAAGTCCGAAAATTTTTTTTTGTATAATAAAGAACAGTACATTAGCTTTAATTTAAGATATATATAAAAGTGTCAGACCTTCCGGAACATTTTCAAAATTTAAGTTGAAAAAGTAAATTTATTGTGAAAAAGTTGTCATTTTAAATCCCCCCCTGTAGGCAGGTAAAAAGTCAGATTTATAAAAAATATATACCAAATGATAGGTAAAGACATCATGCATCTACAAAAAAAAAAATTATATTGATCCATACATTTAAAAAAAAAATTATAGCATTATAAAGTAAAAAATATAAAAAAGAATTTTTTACAAAAATCGTATTTTTTTTATAAAATTTGATGTCTGTTTTCACCATGAAGATAACATAAAGTCCGAAATTTTTTTTTACCATTATAAAGTATATTACATTAGCTTTAATTTAAGATATATATAAAAGTGTCAGACCTTCCGGAACACTTTCAAAATTTAAGTTGAAAAAGTTCTACTTTCTACATGCATTTTTTAGATTTGAAGCCCCCCCATATATAGGGAATTAGTCTGATTTAAAAAAAAGTATATCCAATTAAAGATGTATATAAATACTACTTCTCATAAAAAAATTGTAATGATTCATACATTTTTCAAAAAGTTATAGTATAATAAAGTTAAAAATGTAAAATACAAAATCGAAAATTTTCACATAAAAATAGCATTCGATAGCCATTTTCACCCTGAAGATAAAATGAAGTCCGAAATTTTTTTTTTTCACGATAAAGTATATTACATTAGCTTTAATTTAAGATATATATAAAAGTGTCAGACCTTCCGGAACATTTTCAAAAGTTAAGTTGAAAAAGTTAATTTTTTGTGAAAAAGTTGTCATTTTAAATCCCCCCTTGTGGGCAGGTTAAGGGTTAAATGTATGAAAAAAATATATCAAATGAAAGGTAATAATATTATGCATCTATATAAAAAAGAATTATATTGATATGTTAATTTTTGAATAAGTTATGGCACTTTTAAGTAAAAAAATTTGAAAAAATTTCGAAAATTAGCGATTTTTAAATTCGTAATTCTTTAGGAGGTTTCCCCCATTTACGGGGAACGAGGGAAATTTTTTCAATTTTTAAGGGTAATGTCTTCGACTAGATACAATTTGTGATCTTTTGACGTATCGTTGAAAGAAATCCGTTCGGTGAGAGCTGAGAAAAAGTGGTAACAGACACAAAAAAAAA